CTATCCATTTAAATTTCCCAATTTCAGGGTAGCCTCTATTATAAAGAGGACTTTGGGGGACTTGAAAATTCTGTTACTGGCTTGATGTTCTGATGGAAACTGACAGGCATAAGTTTCTCCATAATGAACTGTACATGGGGATTACTCAAAACAAAGTTTTAATCTTACTCTGTTCTTTCAGCTGGCATTGAGCACTTTTCTTGGCAGCTTTCCTTCATAGTCATTTAGAATCCACTTAAAGAAGAGACTGATTTCAGCATTAGTTTTAGAAAACCATGATTTAGATGTTAATTGTTGTTGAAAGATAAACATGAATTCTAAAGCCAAGTGAGAATGGAACGCATGCATTTCGGATCATTTATGTATACTTTTCAAACCTTTTGACATAGGTTTTGAGTTGCAAACCATTCTGTCTTAAAATCCTGTAGCCTTTCTCCCACTATTTTTTAATTATTGTTGCTACTGACAAGTCTCATGTCATTCAGCCCTGGGAGCCTTTGTATCTGACCATTTTTTCCTCTTATTCTAGACACTTCTAGTATCTTTTCTTTAACTTTTGTGTTCCAGCATTTTATGATAATGTTGATATAGTATGGATCTTTTTTCATCCACTTAGCTGGGTACTCTTTCAGTTCTTAGAAATTTTCTTGAATTATTGTTTTGATAATTTCTCTCTCTCCCTCCCTGCATTGTATTCTGTCTCTGTTTTTCTTTTTAGTTCCTTCCTTCTCTCCACCTGTTCCTTCAACTTTCAGGCTTTATTCCCGTCTTTCTTGAATTGCTGTTATTCAACTGTTGGGTCTCTTGAACTGGTCCTTCAGTTTTCTAACTTTTTTCTATCCCATTTACCTTTTTGGTCTACTTTCTAGGAGTTTATCCTTAACTTCATCTTCTAAACTTTTTATTCAGTTAAGTTTTGGTCATAATTTTAATTTCTAAGAGTTTTTTTTGATTCCCTGAATGTTTCTTTTACTTATTAAAAAAATAGCCCTCCTTTTCCTCTTAATGGGTGTGATATCGTGTCTCCACAAAAATATTTATGATTATGTAAAACATTCTTTTAGAGCCTTTATTTTCTCTGCTTCATTTGCTTTCCTTTTTATCCTTTTTGTTCCGGTTACCTTCTTTTATGCTAGAGGCTTTTCTTATTTTTGTGTTTTGAGCATTATTTATATATCCTGAATACCAGTCCTTCACAAGTCTTTTGCCTAATATGTGATTTGAAAATATTTTCTCCGAGTTTGAATTTGTCTTTTTTGTCTTCTACAGTAACTTCTACAGAACAGAGTTTTTAATTTCAATTAAGTCCAGTTTTTATCAGTTTTTCCTGTTATGTATTATGCCTTTGATATTGTATACAGGAACTCTTTGCTTGTCTGAAGATTGCAAGCATTTTTAACTGTTTCGTTCTAACAATTTGATAGAACACTTGTTATATGTTTAAGTGTATTCTGAATTAATTTTATATGAATTGTGAAGTATGAGGTAAGGTTTACTTATTTTCTGCCTGTGGATATTTATTTGTTCTAACACTGTTGACAAGTCTGTCATTTTTTTGAATTGGATTGCCTTTATACCTTTAAAAGTATTATCAATTGACCATAGCTGTGTGGGTCTATTTCTAGACTTTTTTTCTGTTTGATTGATATTTGAGTTATCCTTTCTCCATTATTGTACCATCTTGATTACTGTAGATTTATAATAAGTTCAAAAACCTCTTAAGATGAATTCTCCACTTTTATTGTTTTTTTTTGTTTTTACAATTTTTTTGTGCTATTCCAGTTTCCTTACCTTTCTGTATGAAATTTAAAAGTGGTTATCTATTTCTATCTTTCTGTAAAAATTCCTGCTGAGATTTTGATTGAGTTTGCCTTAAATCTGTGGATCAATCTGGGGATAATTGTTACCTATGGTGAGTCTTCCAACCCTAACTGATACTTATATGTGAAATCAGAGTAGCGTTCCTGAGATGAATCATAATTTATTGCAATGTTTTCTTGGTTATTACACCAAAAGTAACAAAAGAAAAAATAGGCAAATTGGGCTTCATCAAAATTAAAAACTTTTGTATACCAAGGCATACTATCAATATAATGAAAAGGCAAACCAGAGAGTAGAAGAGAAGATTTACAACTCATATATATGCTAAGAAGTAAATATACGAAGTAGATATCAAGAATTCCTATTAATAAAACTCAAAAACATAAAACAACTCAAAAACATAAAACATTAAAACTGGGCAAAAACCTTGAATAGACATTTCTCCCAAAGAGGTATACAGATGGCCAGTAAGAGTATGAAGAAATGCTCCACATCACAGATCATCAGAGAAATGCAAATGAAAACCACAGTGAGATACCATTCGACATCCACTAGGATAGCTATTAACAGAAAAAGAAAGCAAAAAGAGGGAAGAAGCCATGGCAAGGATGTGAAGAAACTGTAATGCTTGTGCGTTGCTGGTAGAAATGTAAAATGAGACAGTTGTGGAAAACAGTGTGGTAGTTCCTCGAAAGCTAAAAATATATTACTGTTTCTGAGAAGTTATTTTTTCCCCCTAATAATATTTAAATTAGTATCTATAGGCTTTTTTTCCTCAGAAGTGATGCTTTTTGAGCCTTGCAGGTTTCAGTAGAGAATTTATTCTGGATTTTGGTTCATAGAGTGAAAATACATATAGAGGATGTGATGTAGTTTGTCCTTTACCAATAATTTAAACTTTTCAGGTATTACAAGTATTCATAAGTATTGATAAGGAGAAATTTTTGTTTTTTAGCCATTTAGTTGGTCTCTGTTATGGCTTTTTTCAAGGACCTTTTTACCCCTTTCTCACTTTATAATTTAAGATAATTTGTTTCCTTTGTATAAATTTGAAAAAAATTCCCGAGGGAGATATTTTTCCCATTGAGGAGATTAAGGCAGAATTTTGCAAGATGTCTGGTTTATTTGGCTGTTATAGTTAATTAAGAAGGCCTTTGAATTATACTGAACTGCTTTTAAGGTTTTTAAAAACATGCAGCTATTCAGTTTTTTACAAATCTGTTGTACCCTAGAGAAGCTTCCAGTCAGCGGAGATCTCCTTAGAAAACTTGTCATTTAAATGAAGAATATTATAAATTGGGTAGTAAGGTAGTAACTTGATACCCAGTTATAATTTGTTTACACTTTTAAAATCTTCAACTATAATAATATTACATTGTTTCACTGTAGAGATAGTGATTAAGCTAGGTAAATAAGGAAAACAAAATATATAGTATTTCTACCAAAGATTAAGAAAGTCTCAGTAATTGTTAAATTTGAAAATAAGTATTCAGTTCCATAAAAAATAAGAAACTTGGTGTCTTATACCTGCTTTTATTCAACAACTTTGGTATAGTTTACCAAAGGATTGAAGAATTTTAAATAATTGAACAGTACATCACCATTTACTCAATAATGTATTTTATCCAAGAGTTGAAAATACATAGGAACATTTTAAAGGAAAATGTTTAGAGTTTTTGTAGCTTTTTACAACTTCATGAAGAGAATACCTGTTATAACTTCATAGCTGTTTTAGAATTTGATACAGATACAATGACTGTCTTTCAAGGAGTGCCGCAGTAAGACATATTGAAATTGTGTCTTTTTTTTTTTTTTTTTTTTAAGTAATGTCCCTGAGTACAAAATAAAGGGCAGCTATTTTGAAAGTAACTTATAATTTCAGCCATACTGTCCTAAAAGATTTACTGGAAAGTAACATATTTCTTTCTGGGGTAATTGTTGGTGTAGTGTAGTGTGAAGAATGTAAGCTTAGAGTCAGTCTGAAATTTGAATGGAGGTTTAGCCAGTTAGTAGCTGTGTATTTTTGTAAAAGAGCTGTTTGACTTCAGTTTTTTCATAATGAAAATGTGGCTGATGATGTCATCAGGGTTGGAGGCTGTTGAAGAAGATAGATGACATAATAAGTATGAAGTTTTTAGCACACCATCTGTATCTGGAGGGACTTCCTAGTAAGTGCTCAGGTATGTGTCAAATATTATTTTGTTGTAGCCAAATGTGTGACTTCTGTATATATTCCTCATTCTGTGTATTACCTGCTCAGGAGGCAATGTCACCTCTTGGTGAAACCCTCACCTAAATCAGAAAACTGCTTTCTCAGTGTAAGTGGATTTATAGTTCTCCTAGGAGAAATAATGATTTTAAAGGTTTGTAGCCCCTGCTGTGATACATAACAGAGTCTCAAGAAGTTTATTAAACAAGTAGTTACTTCACTGAAAATAGTTACTGCAATAATAATAAGTAAAAATTAAAATCAGTAGTATCTTAAAAAACTTACTTTTTAAAATTCATAACTTTTATATAACAAAAGGCTACAATTTTGATTTTATGTAGTTTTTTAAATGTTAGTATTCATCCTAGCACATTTTAGAGTGCTTATTAATTCATTGACTCAAGTAAAATGCTTTTGTGTAGAATTATTTATTTTCACAGTGTCAGAAACTTCAATAATCCTGTTGATAAACTGATTGTAAAGAATTTATTTTTGGAAGATGTGTTAGGGTTCTATAGAGAATTGGAACCAATAGGCCATGTATGTGTAGGAAGAGATTTATAAGGAATTGGTTCATGTATTGATGGAGGCTGGCAAGTAAGGTTGGAAGCTGCTGGACAACTGGGAACAGCTGATGTTTCAGTTGCAAGGCTCTCAGGAAGGGAGAGGGTAGGCCCCAGTCAAAGGCCATCAGATGGGAGAAGTTTTTGTTATTTGCAGAAGGGTCGGCCTTTTGTTCTTGTTGGGACCATCACCTGATTGCAGGAGCCCACCCACAGTATGAAGGGCATTCTGCTTTTTACAGTCTACCAATTTAAATGTTAATCTCATTTGACAATATCCTCACAGAAACACCCAGAATAATGTTCAATTTAATATCTGGGCACCCCCTGGCACCTTCAAATGGACATACAAAATTAACCATCATAGAAGGTAAACAGAAAATTATAAAAGCAAGTTATTGACTTACTGATTTTACTTGAGGAGCAGCTGAAGGTGATTCAGTTGTAGAGGTCACTCCTTCACATATTCTGTTGCCATGGCATCATTGTTACTGTGTTTTTTCAAATTGTGTTTCAAATTGTCAGAGGCTTAAGATGTACTTAAAGTGTAGATATTTTGTTTTGCTTTAGTTTTTCTTCCTCATCCATCTATTTGATTAAAAATAAGTGAGAAAAGATTTTTTATTTTTTTGGAATATATTCCTTCCACCTACCAAATTTCCACTATTCCATCTGAAAACATTAGCTGTACTACCCTACCTAAAGTGATCTATAATATAACTTCAGTGTGTTTTTTAGAAATTAGTCTTGGCAGAGAAAATGGTAAATTAAGAAACAGTTAAATTGAGCTATTTGGTAATGTAACCAGTTACCTATGTTTTTGTCTTTTTATTTCTTACCTTAATCTATTATTCATAGCGTAAATCTGCCAGGTGGCTCTGGGTATCTTATCTCGCTAAAAGACTAGTTGTGATCTGGGAATGCAACAGGTGGCTGGTCCATCTTTCCCTTACCCTAGTATATAAGTTTTAAATCTGAAAGACAAAATGAAAACTGAATATAACTTTTTTCTTGGAATCAGTCTAAAACTAGCAGAAAAATGTAGTAATTGAAATTACACAAATTTTATTTATTTTTTTATGAGAAGTATCTTGTTTCCTGATAATCATTTGTATATTTTTAAGGCTGAGATCTAAACTGAGTTAAATAGCTTAAACATAGTTCTGAAGGGACTAGCACATGAACTTATAGGATTAAACAAAACATGAACTTAATTAACATAAATAATTAAGAGGAAGGAGAATTTTTTTTCTGGGATATATAATACAAATGATTTCTTGTAACTATTTTAATTCTAAGAATTCTTTTGTTTTGAAGACATCATTGTAGTCTCCTTCAATCATTGAATTGCCTTTTAAATGTAACTTGAGTATGAACCTGTTTTTAAAATAGAATTTTGGCTTCTTGGATACAGTGTGCAGAACTGTCCTTGGGTTGCTCTACTTTTAATAGGTATTTTTCTTTCACTGTTTCCTTTTCATTTAATTAAATAGGTTTATGATAGTGTAGGTGGAGAGTATTTTCAGTATTTTTTAATTTCATAAACTAAAAATCATTAAAGAGACCAAAATAATACAATTTGAAAATGTATTAAGCGTCTTTTACCAGCACATTCAATCATCATGCAGGCTAAACTTTTTCTTATTTTTCCCTGTATTTGAGTAAACAAGTCATATACATATATATATGTGTGTGTGTGTATACATATATAAAACTATGACCCTACATAAAGTCATAGTGTATACTCAATGATGTCAGGAAGCTAAAATAATTTCGCTGCCTTAAAACAAATAATTTTTGCAATGGAATTTGTAGTTTTAATACACTCAACTCAAAAGAGTTACCTATTTCCTGGATTTGATGTATCTGTTGGGAAATTATAGCAATAGTATGTAGGCTTATTGAGAGAATAAAGTTAGCTACTACAAGTAAAGGGTGTGGGTCTTGGTAGAGTACCTGCACGCTCCCCCCCCCCCCCCCCCGCCACCGTAATGAATTTAGGCTCCCTCCAAACACTTCGCAGTGGTTACTGTTAATGTAAAACAGGAAGTTTTTTAGTTGTGTAGTTTAGTTTCACTAATAAACCACCATGGCTGTGTGGAAAGTGGGGGGGGAGGCTGTATGTCTGTGTGTCTTTTGGGGACGTATCTGGCATGTGGGTATAGTCAGGTTTTCATGCATATTTAAAAGTATGATGATGATAAAGTATACTGAAACCATGTTGCAGTCTCTGTGAAGAAGTGGAATTGTACTATGCATTTTTAATAAACAACCTGAGACAAACTTTCAAGATTGGTAATTATCAGGGTTAAAAAATAAATACTAGCTAAGTATCTGTTAAGTGATGAGGAAGAGGAAGATAGAGGGGAAACGATAGTGGTAAATTCTAACCAGATCATCTCTCACCATATTTGAAATGCCTACAAACATGTTTAAGTTTTAATTTTAATAAATGGTGGAACAGCAGTGACCACAGTTGGGGTCAGTTTGGACAGTCTGACTCATAGCTGTTAGTGTGCTTAGGTGTTGAACCCCAGCTTTGAAAATTAAGGCACATAAGAAATTCCATACCATGTAGATTAAATAAGGTTGCTATTTTCGCCTAAATGTTCTTTTGACCTTGTAGTAAAGGACATAAACATCCCTTTACACAGTGTAGATTATTAAAAATTGTTTAAAAATGAACCAAACAGTTGGAAAGTTGTATATGTTCAAAAAGATACGTAATTATGAATAACTTTTTGCTCTTTCCTCATTCAAAATTTATTAAATGTATATGATAGACATTATAGTAAGCAAATTTTGTTGCTTTTATTCATATTCTGTAAAATCTGGTAGAGCTTTAATTGACTGTTGTAGCCCTGTTTGTCCTTTTGTGAAATGACAATAACATACAGAGATTTAATTTCTTGAGATTAATTGTGCCAAGATGCTATGTAGTGTGAAGTGTCAGTGCTTTTTTCTTTTTTAATAGTAAATTTTGTATGTGGGTGGTGGCAGAACCACACAGGGAGAAACATTTTTTTTTTTTTTTTACATGTCATAGTTTGTGCTACTCAAACCATGAAGTAGTGTAGATCCTTTAATAATCCTATTGAGAGAATTTCATGCTGTTTAGGGGGAGTGCTTACATATGGGTATCAACAACATTTTTAATTAGGCTATACAGTGGGAAGGGGAAAGCTTCACAAATAGTGTATGGTAAGAATGCTGTTGATTAATTTTAAGATGACATATTTATATTTTATGTGATTATATTATGTTTGAATCCTATAATGAATTCTGACTGAAAAGATACTGCCTTTGATTCTTTGTGCAGTTTGGTTCAACAATTTTGTTTTTGGTAGATTATCAGTTATATCTCCTAAACTTAGTATGTATATAGTATATATTTTTCAACTCAGATATTCAGGCTTATTTTATGATTTTCAGTGTAACTTAATCTTGATAAATATGTAATATTCATAAAATTGTAACTTTTAATTTAGCTTCACTAAAATTATAGTAAATGTTTTTGGTTAAGAGATTTAAATAAACTTGGAATTTTGAGCTTCATAGTTAGTTCTTAAATAGAATGCTAAATTTGATTTTATTAATATTTTTGTGCAGTACGTATAGTAAATGCATTCTTAAAGTTAAGCTTAAAATATATGCTACTTTGTGACTTACCGTATAATCTAGCAATTATGCCAGAAACATTGCTAGATCATATGGTAACTGCATATTTAGTTTTTTAGAGAAATTGCTAAGCTGTTTTCCAGAGTATCTGTACTATTTTTCCGTACAGATTGTTGTTGTTCCATCACTCAGCCGTGTCCGACTCTTTGCGACCCCATGCACTATAGCATGCCAGGCTTCCCTGTCCTTTGCTGTCTTCTGGAGTTCACTCAAACTTGTGTCCATTGAGTTGGTAATGCCATCCAACCATCTCATCCTCTTTTACCCCCTTCTCCTCTTGCCCTCAATCTTTCCCAGCATCAGAGTCTTTCCAGTGAGTTGGCTCTTCTTATCAGGTGGCCAAAGTATTGGAGATTCAGCTTCAGTGTCAGTCCTTCCAATGAATGTTCAGGGTTGTTTTCCTTTAGGATTGACTGGTTTGATCTCCCTTACTGTCCAAGGGACTCTGAAGAGTCTTCTCCAACACCATAGTTCAAAAACATTAATTCTTCAGTGCTTAGCCTTCTTTATGGTTCAACTTTCACATCCATACATGACTACTGGGAAAACCATAGCTTTGACTAGATGGACCTTTGTTGGCAAAGTGATCTATCTCCTTTTTAATACCCTGTCTAGGTTTGTCATATCTTTTCTTCCGAGGAGCAAGCATCTTTCAGTTTCATGGCTGCAGCCACCATCCATCAACAATATGTGAGTGACACATTGTGATATATCTGTATCCTTGCCGGCCTTTGGGATTGACACTGCTTTTTATTTTAGAGATTCTAATACACATTCAGTGATAATCTTGGGGTTTCATTTGTGTTTTCCTAATGGTTAATGTGTTGAGCATCTTTTTGTGGGTTGATTTGCCATCTGTATATCCTTTTCTGTGAAGTGATACCCTTTGCTGTTTTCTAATTGGATTATTTGTGGTTTTACTCTTGAGCTTTGAGAGTTCTTTTCAGATGTACATACTAGTTCTTTTGTCAGATATGTGGTTCACAAATATTTTTCTCCCCCCCTTTTTATTTTTTTGTTGCTTGTCTTTTTATCCTGTTAGTAGTCTTTTATAAAGCAAAAGGTTTAGTTTTTATGATGTCCAGTTTATAATATTTCCTTTTGTGAATCATGTTTTTGATATCAAGTCTGCCCTGCATCCCAAAGATTTTCTCCTATTTTTTTTTTTCCCTTAAATTTTGATGTTTTCTGTTTAGTACTGTGATTCGGCTTAAGTTAACTTTTGTTTAAGGCATGAGGTTGAGGTATATTTTTTTTGCCCGCTGTGTCCAAATGCTGTCTCAGCAGTTGTTAAAGTGGTTAAAATAGCTGTAATTTATCTGTGATATGATTTGTATTTGTAAATCAGTAGTCCATATTTGTTTGTGTCTATATCCGTGTTCCCTGTTTCAGTCCAGTCCATTGTTCGGTGTTTCTCTGTGTACCAGTATCATAGTGTCTTAATTACTGTAGCTAAAAATAGTCCTTAATATCATGTAGAATGAGTCTTCATACAATTTGTTTCTTCTTTTTAAAGATTGTTTTATCTATTTCAGTGCTACACTATAAAATAAGATTCCTCAAAATGTTTTTTGAGACTCTTGTTTTTCGATGTGCGAACTTCTATAGGACTGTTATGTCTTCCTTACGAATTGATCCTTTTATCATTATGTAGTATCTTCCTTTGCCTCTTGCCATTTTCTTTCCTCTAAAATCTAGTTTATCTGATATTAATAGAGTTGCTCCTCCTTTTTGTTGACTAATGTTTACTTGGTATGTCTTTTTTCAAGCTTCTGCTTTCAAA